TATTAATTTATTTTATTTGAAACGGTTGCATTTAAAAAATTAAAATTTAATTTTAAATTAGGAATTGACTAACATACCCTTTTAATTTGATTTTAATTGTATAATTAATATGTTAAAATGATTGGTTGAGATTGGTTCTCACAGTTACCACAAACAACTCAGTTCTCCCTTGAATAGGGGCTTAATCAAATGAGAACTGAGTTGTTTGTTGTAACTGTGAGGTCCAATATGAGCCAATCATTTAAATAATTAATGTTATATCCTAAAATAACATAAAGGGTAAATTGGTAATGTTATAATTATAAAACCCTAGATGCTCTAGGTACTCTTCTCCTTTGTCTACTTCTTCTCTGGCCACCCCCATCACCCCCATCTACTTCTTCATCGACGGTTTCCCCTTCCACAACCATCTCATCTTCTCCTTTATTAGAAAACCTTATCTCTCTTCTTTGATTTGGCCCCATGAAATCAACAACCCTTTTTGGTTTTGCTTTGACTGTTTCTTTGCTGGCTTCAAAGCATTGACTGGGACTTGCTGGAGTGGTTCACGAGGCAGACGACGGAGACAAGACACGACAGAGGTGGTGCGAAGGGGAAGGTTCGGGTGTGCTTTGCCTATTTCCTCGTCCCTGTGTCTGTGTTAGTTCGTGCGGTGGTGTAGGGATGCGTGCGTGTGTTGCAGAAGGTGAAAGGGAGAAGGGAGATAAGGAGATGGTGGCTGCAACAATGAAGGGGTGGTCGGAGAAGATGGATTGGGAAAGGAGGAGACGGGTGAAAATTCTGTGGTACATGGTGGTACCCAAATTGGTAATACATTGGGTAATGGGTATCACAGGTTGGCCGGAGAAGATGGATTAGGAAAGGAGGAGACGGGTGAAAATTTTGTGGTACATGGTGGTACCCCAATTGGTAATACATTGGGTAATAGGTATCACAGGGTGGCCGAAGAAGATGGATTGGGAAAGGAGGAGATGGATGAAAATTCGGTGGTACATGGTGGTACCCCAATTGGTAATACATTGGGTAATGGGTATCACAGGGTGGCCGAAGAAGATGGATTGGAAAAGGAGGAGACAGGTGAAAATTATATGGTACATGGTGGTACCCCAATTGGTAATACGTTGGTACCTGCCGGATTAATGTTCACCGGAGGCCAGAGATCGGAGATCGGAGAGAGGATAGAGGAGTTTTTTAAAAATACGTAAAATGCCCTCTAATTATAATTTTAACTCAAATTACCATAATTACTAATTTCCTTATTTATCCGTTGATTTGTGATTAAGATTGGATCTCACAGTTACCACAAACAACTCAGTTCTCCCTTGAATGTGCCCCTATATATATATATAGGGTTGGGTTCACCTGAGACCAAGGGTTTTTCGTGAGACATGTAAGACCAATTTATGTTCATTGTCAACTTTATAAGCTAATGATCTAATGGTTTAAAGTTATACGGTGGTAATTTTGTGATTATTGAGATGTCTCGTGGCGTTTATGAATGTTCAGATCTGATGATTGTAGATCTAATCCAATGGTTGAGAATTGGTCTTATGGTTCTCATGGAAAACCCTTGGTCTCACATGATCCCAAGTCTATATATATACACCTGAGATCATGTGAGATCAATTTGATCTCGTTGAGACCCCTAAGACCAAATTATATCAGTTAGATTAGAACCTGAAGTTGATTGACGGTGATGATTTAGATTGTGGTAATTCTGTAATTTGTTTGGCAATCAACGACAATGTGGAAACTTGTATCAGTTGTGTTTTCAATTTGGCTAAATATATTAAACCCTTTCAAACTTCCCACAAGAGATCATCAAATACTCAAAAGCTACTTAGGTACTTTGAACATGATGAAAATCATCTTCAACATTGTCTAAAACAACTAATAATCGTCATATCTCGGTAAGGAACTAAAATTTTGGGTTTGGTGTTCACGATTTTGTAACTATTTATAGGAGCGATAAATTTTGTTTATTGTTTGTTCAATAATCTATTTCATGTGCATTCATCACCAAAATTAGAATTTTTTCACTAAAAATAGGGTTTTGGATGACGTTCTTCATCGAATTTCGAAATCAACTTTAGGAGCTAAGGGGTTGTTTGCTTACGTATTAATAGTTTTATTAAGAGGCAAACTCTGAATCGTTAAGAGCTGAATCTTTTTTGACAAAAAAAGAGTCCGCCTCTTAATGGTTCTGAAACTCTCTTAATGATTTTGTATCATAGGTCTCCCTTAACCATTCATCGCCCTAATTTCGTTGTAAATAATTACCAAACAATTATATTTTATTTTACATTATATCATGAGAGCCTTTTATAATCATTCTGATCACTTAATCATTCTGCACCAAACCATTCAAGAACTGCCAAACAACCCCTAAGTTATCCTTTTAAGAAATTTTCAATACTTGAAAATTAGTTTTGCTCTGTGTTTTGAAGGAAGTTGCATTTTATGTGATGTCTCTAGTGCCTTGTGCATTTTATGCCGGAACAAAAAGAGAAAACAAGTAAAGTGGAGATCTATTAAAAATTGAATTACTACAGTATGCAAACATGAATGTAGAAAAAAAGTATACTGAATGTAAAAGTAGAGAAAGACTAATGGGGGATGTACAGTTGGATGGGATGTGTACACATAGTCCCGGTATAACAAATCATTAGTGTAAGATGATAAAGATTATCATATAACTTGTATGCATCGATAAATCTTGATATAATATAACTTCTTTCGGCCATGAGAACTTAGGTTCTCAACTAGCTCTTGTGTGTTTTCCTTTTTTACAGGCTGAGCAAAGAGATTCCTTTGCAAACGAGTGTTGATGAAGACCTGTGACAAGATCATTTCTTGACAACTCACTGAGTGTCTTGAAGTTGAGATGAGATAGCCGTTTGTGCCATAACCAATTAATATCTGATGAGGCCTTGGAGAAGAAGCAACTATTCTCGGTGAGAGGAGAATTCATGTTGATGATATAAACATTCTCTAAACGAGAACCGGTTAGAGCAACCTTATCATCTTTGTCAAGAACATGACAATAATTCTTTGAGAATTTAACTGTATAATCTTTATCACATAGTTGGCTGATGCTAAGAAGATTGTGCTTCAGTCCTTCAACGTAGGCAACACATTTGAAAGTTGTTGTACCGTTGGATAATATACCAAAGGTTACGGAAGGTCCTCTTTCTTCCTTGAAGTGAGATAGAAGAGATATATCTCCAGTCATATGTCTTGAACAGCCATTGTCCAGATACCATATGCCTTTGACATCCTGAGCAAGAAAACAAAATAAGAATTGCTATTGGTACCCAGCTATTTGGGTCCAGCTTTGTTAGAGGCTTCATCATCTGCTACTG